TGATATTATTTATATGTGCTGTGAAAGACAGAGTGCTATCGAGGATGACACCAAGACTCTTAACCTGAGGGGATGGTGTGACAACAGAGTTATCAATGGATAACGAAAGACTGGTTGGAATTGTAGTCAGTTTTGATCTGGTGCCTATTAAAATGAATTCTGTTTTATTGCCATTAAGTTTAAGAAAGTTAAACTTAATGGATGTCAAAGACTCCACTACAGCAGACGATTAATATTGATAGGGATGTTCGTTGATTGGTCAAACTTGGTAAGACTTCTGATCATCATCAGAAGAATAGGATGACAACAAATATCTACCACAGCTCATTGTGTTAGGAAGGCTCTGTAGATTTGCAATAGGGCTGCACGATTTTGCATAAAATGCTCGCCGTTGTTTTTTCCCTGCTAATTTTAGCATCACACGGCACAGCTTCTGTATCACGTGGTATAAGGCTCCGCCCTTGTCATTTGTTGAGCAGGAAGAGTGAGCGCTTGTTTTCATGCAGAGTACGTCCCGGATCAAAATGCGGTACAATCGTGGTCGTCGTCTTTTTTTTATTTTTTATATTAATCGTTGTCATTTGGAAATGAGATCGCACATAAGTATGAATCCAGATCGTGATTTTCTAACGATTAATCGTGCAACCCTAATTTGCAGTTAATTTCCAGTTTTTAAACTGTTTTTTTATCTTTCCTTATTTCATTTAGCATCAGCGTCTGTTTCTGAGGAAGAGGAAGATGAGGAGGAAGATGAAGAAGAGTCCAGCAGCCAGAGTGAGGGTGAAGAAGAAGAAGAGGAGGAATCTGCTTCAGGCTCAGGGCGGTCTGAGCAGAGTGCAGGTACAAATATTTGTGGCCCATACGGTTCTATCACTGCCATCAGATGCTTATCAAAGTGGCTTTCTTCCTCTCAGAAGATGTGAGTGAGGACGAGCAGTCTGGGGAAGATTTTGAACAGGAGAGGGAAAATGGAAATCACATACCTGCAGGTGAGTAAACCTCAGATATCAAAGAGAGTAGAAATCATATTTGGAGAAGTAGAGAGGTTTTTTTTTTCTTAGCTTTTTATACCCAGCCAGGACTCTAACTCTGCAGACTGTGCCTTTAAGAAACAATCGCACCACCATAAGGGCAAAACACAGAAATAGTATGAAATAGTATTCAGGCAAGAATGAAAAAAAAAGTTCCTTAAATTAAGCCCTTTACTTTATTTTAGTTGTACCAAGTTTTATATTCGGTAATTAGATGACATCAAGGCATCTGTATAGCTAGAAGATTTTATCAGCCAAATGTTACTGTGCAAAAACTTCAGTACTGTTAAAAATGTACAGAATTTTCACATTTAAGAGAACACATTTTCTGATGGTGTTTTGAAGATGTGTATAGATTTTTTTATTTGATTGTTTTGACCTTATGTCACTAAATTAATTACAACATTAGCATGGCAAAAGAAAAGAATCTTTAAAGCCATCATTTTTAACTCAAACTATGGCTGTTTTTTGTTTTTAACTACTGTGCTTTAGTAATGATGCAAAATAAATACTCTCTGTAGCACATTCATAAATGACTAAACTTCTGATAAAAACTCCCCTCGATCACAATCTACACAACATTATCGCCACAAGCTAAAAATGGAAAAGTCATCAGCATCACTAATGAGGCACGTTTTG